GTGGGGTGGATCTGTCTAACTCAAACTATACAAGCTATGGGTCGAACCTTCACCCACATGTTTGTTTCTTCTTTTCTAAATGAGAGGTATATAAGTTGCTACTTAATGGGACTTTGGATTTGGGCCTAGGTTGTCCCATTAGAAATAACTTATACATGGGCTTATTTTTGTAGTGGTTTGAAATATTATGTCAATGCTACTACATAGTTGGAAATTTTTTTGCTAGAGGATGGTGTCACTTGACACCACCCTCAATGAGCTAGTTCCGCCCCTGCATATAACTATTATTTTGTGGGAGTTTGGTTCCCATTCAAGTGCTACATTGTTAATTCATATTAGAATATGTAAAGCAAAGCTTAATTCATATAAGAAGTAAAGCAAAGCTTACCTTTTTGTGCGCATAAGCTTCCACTCTTGCTTCGTATGTTATGTCCCTTTTTTTATTACTATAGTTGGGTGGTAATAGATAAAGCATGTTGTTGCATTAAATTAGAATTTTTTAGTCATGGTTGACTCTTGGTAATAGGAAAAGGTTGCCGTGTTTTTAGTCATGCTTCTTATCCTTTGTTTCAAATGAAATTTTCAATTCTCATATGGACATTGATTTGAACAGAGGGTATTACAAGGTACAAACTCCTGTCTATATTGTTTTATGAGTTAGATTTGTCATTCACTTCCATGTTTTGTAGTTTGAGCCTTTGAGGTAGCATAAATGGGTGTGAGAAGAGGAGTCCTCTTTAATTTCAAAATCTCTTTCTCACTTTTCATATTAGAACTGGTTTTATTATGTTTCTTCTGAATCATACTGTAATATCTGGATCTATGTTTGACTAGTGTGTTTTGTGAAGCTGTCGAGTTATGGGGAAAGTGGAAACAATAATGCTGCAGACTGCAGGCTAAATGTGCCTTACTATCTGCTGTTTATTGATGTCCTCTGAGCAATTTTGGTTTGCATATGACAAATTTGAGGGGATGACTTCGATTATGAATCTATGATGATCTAGAGCGTAGATTAACCCTTTCACTGAACCCATTTTGAGGGGAAGACTTTGATTATGATGATCCAGACGTAGATTAAAAAACGTTTTCAGTGAACCTATGTTTTCATGCAAATGAATCATTGTGGATTAATTGTACCTCAAGCTACTTCCTTACATGTGCCACCTCTTCTTCTTTCTATTAATTGCTTTAACAGGATTAGTGTAACGCAGTATTTAGTTCATTTTTTCAGGGTGTTATATGAGCTTTGTTCTTCATGTTTTGTTCTCATAATTCCTTCCCATTTTACTCTTGTTCATTCTGCTATATATTTTATCTATATTTGGTATTTTAAACTCTAGCTCAGAGCTTATGTTAATTGGTGTGAGACAGACTTGAGTATATTGCTGATCATGGGAAGCAAAGGTCGTGTGCCCCCACCATCTCATCTACGGCAGCCTCTTCCCGGTCCCGGTATGTTGCGCCCGGATCCATTTGGACCAGGCATTCGTCCTCCCCCTGGTGCCTTTCCTTTTGATATGTTGCCTCCACCAGAAGTTATGGAGCAGAGACTTGCTGCACAAGATTTTGAGATGCAAAAGCTTTTGAGAGAGAACCAGCGGCTTGCAGCTACTCATTCAGTTTTGAGACAAGAGCTAGCTGCTAACCAACACGAGCTACAGAGGTTGACCGATAACATGCGTGCTATGAAAGATGAGCAAGAACAACATATGAGGGGACTCATTGATAGGATGTCTAAGATGGAAGCCGATTTGAAGGCTTCCGAGACTGTTAAGGTGGAGTTGCAACAGGCTCATGCAGAAGCCCGTAGTTTAATGGAAGCTAAAGAGAATCTTATGGCGAAAGCGCAACAACTAAACCAGGATCTACAGAAGAGCCACGCTGATGTTCAGCAAGTCCCTCCTTTGCTGTCTGAACTGCACAATCTAAATCAAGAATACCAGCATTGCAGGTGAGAATTTGGGAGCTCTTTGTGTTATATATATATATTTGAAGTTGTCAGTGAGCCATGGGTCTTTTATGCTCTCTTTCAATGCAGAGCTACCTATGACTATGAAAAGAAATTGCGCAGTGACCATTACGAGTCACTTCAACTAATGGAGAAGAATTATATGTCCATGCGGAGGGAAGTGGAAAAGCTACGAGCTGAGTTGACTAATTCAACTAACCTTGACAAGATTGGTATGGATGTTTATTTGTCCGCCCCTCTTAGGCTTTTCAGTTTTCTTCTCTCTCTTAGTTCATATTGTTAATAGATCTTTCTTACAGGTGGTGGATCATATGGTAACAGTGGAGAGTACAAGGAGAATGATACGAGTGGCCAACATTCTGTTGGACAAAATGCATATGGCGATGTTTATGCAAACCCACAGGTTAGATACATTATCGCTTAGTGTCAAAATCACTTGCTATATTTTTTTAATGGTATATATTCACGATATTTTAGTCTCATAAATCTTGATTGACTTTACCATATATATACATATAGAGACATCTCATATTAAAAGGAGAGAGAGCCTACAGGAGATTTTCCGTGTTCTTTTCCATCAACATCTTCAGTGTTCACATGAATATTTACTTGACCTAATATCAGAGTGTTATTACTTAAAGAAGTTCATGTATTTCTATGTTTTGAATTTCATAATCTCCCCTAGTTCCATTTGTCTGGTCATATCTTTACTTGAGCCCTAGATGATGGTTCTCCTCTTCCACAGAAAAAAAAATCAGAAATCTAATCTTCAAGTTAGTTGTGAAAATTTGTTCAGTAACTCAAGCCAGATTCAACCTTGACTGAACCTAAATAGCCGTTTTTAGTTTACAATTTAGTAATTCCAATTCAGATGCCTTGTTAACATTCTACCCTTCTCTTAGAAAGTAAGGATATTATAGCTCAGCAATCAAAAAAATTCCGTTTAGTGCAGCAAGATCTCAGAACCATGGGATTTTTCTTCCTGGGAATCCCCACATTCAGATACTGTCTTGAAGCTTAATGGATGAATTGGTTGGAATTGGTCTAGCCAGTTCTTCTTTGAATTGTGGTTATCCAACTGGAAACAAATAACTGACTACAGTAGATGATCCTTGCTATGAAAGTGTCGTCATTTGAGCTTCTTATTCGAAGGGTAAAAATAAAATCTTTATTCGTGGACAATTGAGGTTTTCTCCTCTAAAATACCGTGCTCATTTTCAGTTACCACAAAACACTTGACAAATAATCACACTAGGAACAACAGAACTTGTCTCAGAAAGCAGCCAAATACTTGGGAAGAAATTAAGGAAGTGCAAAAACGACTAAGAAAATTCTAGTACTAAGTTTCAACAGCATGGAACTAAATGCTATTATCAAAATTACACCAGCGAATTAGTTGAGGTGCAAAAGGGTGAATTTGAACTTCTAGATGTGAAATTTGTGTCCCTAGCTGAGATGCTATAAGCACTACGTCAGGTTTACCCACAGCAGACTGCAAACACACACAAACACGCACACACATGCACTCGTGCCCTAAAATGCATGCACACGGTAAATTCAATCAAGATTTATGTAGACAATGACAAAAATCTATGTTGCATAGATACTTCTCTCATGAAGCTGTACTCATACCTGACACTGCCGTCGACTGTACCCAACACAGACACTCCTTGGACGCTTCTTGAATATATGCTTACCTTTATTTAGATGTGTACGCAATTATATAATACATGTTTTAATTTAAACACTCAATTATATAATATATAATAAAATAAACACAAAATATGTTGTAGGAATTTGATTCTCATAACATGGGAATGAAACAAACAATTTTGATTTCATGTAAATTGTTAAATTTCATATATACATAGCCGTGTCCCCGTTCCCTACCTTTTAGAAATTGGCCATGTCCAGCACCTGTACTCGTGTCTGTACCCATGCAACATAGACCAAAATATTGTCTGCATGTAATATAACTTGTCTAGAACCCCTTATTTTCTTATATATTGTTCTTATACCTTACACGAAAGATCCAAATGAAAATTTCTGCGCTACATACTTTTCAGATCATCTAGTATTTCTATCCCCCGAAATACATCACCTATAAATTAAAAAACTTTTTGAGTCTAGTGCTGGAATTTGTTTTAAGTTTCATAAATGTATTTCTGCTTCAGGAGAGCACGGGTGTCATATGAGGCTGGTAAGCATCACAGTCATCCTTAAATATGGAATCATTCTGATAAAGTCTTAAAAAATAAACCCTGTGCAAGTGGGATATCAGTTCGCATAAGTTGGTTGTTTTTATCTTCTGATTTGAACTATAATTCATTACCACATCATTTATCCCCATTAACTGTTACTATGCTGGCGTCTTTAACCAACAGGGACGTGCATCAACTGGTGGTGGTCCAGTGATGTATGGGGGAGGCTTAGCTGGGGCTGCCCATACTCATCCTGGATATGATGCGTCCAGAGTGGCTGCAGGCTATGATAACTCCAAGGGTGGCAGCTTTGATCCTCCGAAAGGTACTGGTGCTGGCTATGATGCTGCTACTAAAGCAACCGGTGTAGCTCAAGCACCCACGACTGCTGGAAATGTCGCAGCTTCTTATGGATCAGCACAGACTGCTTCACCCTATGGATCAACTAGAGCACCATCGCCCTATGGCTCTGCTCAGGCCCCAAATCCTTATGGATTTGCTCAGGCCCCAAATCCTTATGGAGCTCAACAGGCACAAAATCCTTATGGATCAGCCCAGGCACCAAATCCTTACGGAGCTCAACAGGCACAAAATCCTTATGCGTCAGCTCAAGCACCAAATCCTTACGCATCGGCTCAGGCACCAAATGCTTACGCATCGGCTCAGGCACCAAATGCTTATGGATCGGCTCAGGCACCTACTGCTGGTGGTAGTGCACGCCGATGAACAGGCTTCTGATCTTTTCATAAAGAAGCAGTGTCCAAGAATTCCGAAGGGTTCCTGTTGATCATATTCCTTGACCAATTTCTATCATCTTATATGGAGCTAGCTAATCCTGGACTGCCCTAGAATTGTCATTACTGCACTCTGGATGATTTTTTTTAGCAAAAATGCACATAATTGTTATTAATCATCAGCGTAGAAGCTTGTTGCCTTTCACCTTTGGCTGCGCTTATTAGATTTTGGATGCTGCTTTTCAGTTTCTCACAATCTTTCTCCTATATGAGCTTTTATAAGCTTTTATAAGTGGTTGATTCGGCCATAAAGCTCAGAGTTGTGTGCTTCCAGATCAGAATCTTAGCTGATTTTATACTGGGCCTACTGGCATATTGTAATGTGCGCGGTATGTAGTGACTGATATCTAAGAAACGACATGCATTGTTGCAATGTACCGGTTCTGTTTCTTTTTTGTTTTTTGCAAGATTGGGTATTCACTGTTTTGTTGCTAGCTACTGGCATATACTGTAAAATTTGTCCAGCAGGTTTAAGCTTGGGGGTGCGTGAGATTTTTATCTGACTTGACATTTTCAGTAGGAATTGAAGTTTCCATGGGGAAGACTCTAAAATTTCTTGATGAGACAGACTGTCATTGTTACCTTAATTTGTCTTTAGTTGGTGTTGTGGAACTGCAGTTTTTACTGTAAAGCTCATTGTTCTCATTTATATGGTTTTCTAGTCCAGTATCCGAAGGTGTATTTTCTTCAACAGTAGGAAATGGGTTTCAAATTTATACACTTAATTTATGATTAAACCCCACATTATATCTCTGTTAGGCTTCACAATAAATAATAAAGGATAAATTGTTGCCAAAACACCCCTGAACGTACGTGAGCATCCCCCCCCCCCCCCCGCCCCGGCCAAAAAAAATGTATTTATTTGCATTGTGTCCATAAAATCCACAGTTTCAAGTACAGTGAATAAGAAATGAAAACATGAGCTATATCCGAGGGTGACCAATGAAAAGATGCATCATTTCACTAGTTTGAAATGATGCATCTTTTACCTAGTTTGAAATGATGCCTCTTTCCCCTAGTTTTTATTTTTCTCGATAATCTCCTTTCTTGAGAATCTAGATGGGTTTGCTAATCTTGCAGATATTCGCCTGATTTTATGTTCACTTTTTCTTAGTTTCAAATCTCAGCAACTTTTTCCTTTTCTCTTTTTGCAGATTTTGTCGACCAGAGGATGGTGCATGCGGTGTATTATGGGTGAGTTCAAGTTAACTACCCACAGCCTCTCTCTTTTACAATTTAATCATACGGAACCACTCTCTTTTAACTGTAAATCTTGCTTGTTAACTTCTCTCTTCTTTATTGTGCCCTGACCAAGTACCTAGAACCGGAGAATAATTTCACAAGACACCCCACATTCTCATACAACTTTCCTCGACGAACAATTTTTTTTGCACAATTACCCCCCCGAAATGAGACCCGCGACCCAGATGTCAGTGATGAGATAAAGAGTACAAGTGATTGGTGCATTGTCTTTTTTCATTTCATGATTGAGATTCTCATAGTTTACCATATTATTGTCAATATGAAGCAGTTAAGCAAGTGTGTCGAACATTTAATAAAGTAATACAACTCGTATGAAGAAAAATTAAGTAATACAACCACAGCAAGCAAGCACTTTAAACAGAATAATGAATTAAAACAGATGGCTATAAAAGCTTAAGAGGGGCAAATATCTCTCCTCTTCTATGACTACAATATTAATACTTTTGAAAGGGACGCAGCTTGCACTATTGTCCCCTGAGCCAGCCCTGATCCTGCACCAAAACCACTATCTTTTTATTCTTAGAGATGGATTAAGAATAATTATTGTTTAGCTTTGCTTAAACTAGTTCAGATGATAAGACCTTAGCAGTCCATTAAGCAATCATTTCAAAGGGTTCATAACGCTTCAACCGGGTTGTTTCTCTTAAGCACATTACAGCTGTAAGGGGTCCTAATTGAGCCAAAACAGCAAGTCTTAAAGAAAGAGCAAATATAATTTTGATATAAATTTTTAGAACAATGACCTTATGGGAACAATGGTTCGTTTTTAGATGAAAGATTCGAGATAGCTGCTTTCAGCGTCTCCCTGAATTATTACTTCAAACAAGTTCATGCCAATTAACAACGAAAAGCCCTAAAGTAGAAAATCATGAACAATTACGCTAGAATTTGTATTTAAACTTGTATATTGCAATAAATGGTTGTGTATAAACTACGAGCTTAATCAGGCTTGTTGTTATAGAATGCTTATCCATCCATTTGGGAGTCCATACGAGTACTGAAGATTGAAATGAAAATGAGTGTAGTGATAAGAGTACAAATCTCAAATATTTCTACGAGCATTTTCGTATTCGACAAGGATATTACTAAGGAAGGAAAAGCGAAAATGATAGCAACTGGACCAATATCGGTACCACTTTACTAAAAGGTGTTTAAGACTTGTATCGGTTGCTAGGTTTGAGTGATGAAATTTTCTTTTCATAACAAGAGTACTCATGCTAATTAATGATGTTATGCTCTTCACTCTTGTTTATGGAAGGCATCTAAATGTAGGTCACATTGTGATAAGGAAGTCCTAATTGCCTAGCTTTTCTTCGTGGTACTTTAACCGATAATGCCCTCACTCAATCTACACCGTCTAAATGGCATAGAATCTTGGTTCATGACAGACTCCCCCCACCCTCCAATTCTTGGGTGCTTATAAATACAAGAGAACAGCGCTTCTCTCCATCAAACCAAGGCAATTAGCTCTACATACTCAACGCAAAGAGCACTACCAACTGTTTTCAGAGCCTTTTTCGAGTCAAGGATAGAGCACCAACAATGGGGAGGTCCTCATTCTTCTGTTGCTTCTCCGGATCAAGTTACAGAGATGATGACATTGATTGGTCTCCTAGATACCATAGGAAGATCCGACCGAGTGATTATGATAGAGGCTGGTGGGTTGGTGAGCCTGATGTAGACACTAAAGCTACAGACTTCATTGCTAAGTTCCATAGGAGTCGATTCGCAGACTAGAAGCTCTTGTTCAATAGTCTTTTCTATCATTCATCGTGTTTCCTTTGTATCCTTGTAGTTAGCTTACTTCTCTGTGAGCTGAATCTAAGTGTTTGTTAGCAGTTATTGTCATCAATTATGAATAATAACAACTGGCATTTGTTTCTGTAACTTTGTGTGCGTTGATTTTATGGTACATTTGGTTATATGACCAGCTTATAAACTGAAGTAAAAGAACCTAGCAAGCTTCTTGCTGCCAATTGGGTGGGGTTCATAACTATTTGGATGCATAATTTATTAAAATTTATAAGCAGTATATTATATATAGAAATAACTTAATTATTATGCATGGCACACCTTCTTAAAAATAATTTTTGTAACGTGCTAATAGGATTTTTGAGTTAGCTTGGTCGTTTTATTTAATGTGAGAGACTTGGTTTAAGAAGTGAATCCACAGGGGAACTTGGAATTTTGATGATCAATGTTTATGTTATATTTTCTTCATTTTGAATTAATTTTTCCCTGGTATTGTAAATGCATTTGAGTAATCCTCTTGGTGTGGTTAAAGTTGTGACATTTTGGCATATGTGAAGAAAATGTCACTCTCAAAAGAAAGAGACACTTAACCTCTAAGTTTGATCCCTTTTCTTCTTCTTTTCCCCTTTTCAAACATTCCTTAATCATGCTCATCCGAGAATATCTAGATAATTGTGATTCATTTTTATTTAACGTGATATCCTCATGAATTGCACTCATTCTCATTTTTCCGTAAAACAAATCATAACCGCACACTGAATGAGAAATTCATCATTTTCTGTACATATTGAAAACTGTTTATGATAAAAGCCTGCAATCTTTCAAATTAATTTCTTGCTAGGGAGCACAAAATGCATGTAGCTAGCTAGGTTTTACTTAACTTCTAAAGAGATGCAATTCTCTACTTAAACTTATTTATAAAGCTCAATAGCCTGTTCAGGAGACACAAGGTGACAATTCCAGGCTTTGTGCTCTTTGATTCTTTTTTGCAAACTGGTGTCATTATTTAATATACTAATTAGAGTGGTTAATTTGAAAATGGTATCTCAGTCAAGAAATTGATCTTGTTAGTCTTATAAACATTTGACCACATAAATACTCAGCTCTAAAAGTTATTATGGAAAAAAGTTATTGCTACAATGTAACCCTCAAGGCTATCATGTTAGCGAATATTAGATTTGGCACTGTAAATGAAACGAAATTATTTCGAAAAGGATTAAAATCAACAAGGCTCATATAATGAGATTGAGCTCGCAAGATCAAATGAAGGAGAAAAGAATGAAACTAATTTTGTGCAAGAAAAAAAAATAATTTTTGGTGGCGTATATTAAGAAAGAAATATTCATAGTAGTGATTATATACCTTTTGAAAATACAAAAACGCATCAGAAACCATTGTAGTTTTTTTTAATTATTAATTATATAATGACACCCACTTTTCAGAAATGCTGAATCCGCCACTGATCTTAGTCTTTTTACTAGTTCATCTGGTTAGTTGGAAAAACTGAAAATGTTCAGAGGTTTCCTGGAGCACCCCAACTTAAGAGGGCTAGGTGATATTTTTGAAGTTTAATTAGAGGGGTTATCTCAAAATTGGCCAAACTTAAGGGGGGGTTTTGTGAAATTCACCCTACTTAGTTGACACACTATTAGATGAGACTAGAGGAAGCAAGCAGGAAGGGTGTCAACATTTAATTAAGCAATACATCTACAGCAAGCAAGCACCTTATAAGTAGAATAGTGAGTAAAACAAATTAAATGGCTAAAGGCTTTAAAGGCCTAAAGGCTGAAAGAGGGAAATATCTTGGTATGATCTTCACATTTGAGTATCGCCAAACTATGGATACAGTACATTTGCAAAGGGAGACAGCTTGCACTCATGTGCCCTGAACCAGCCCTGATCTGCACCAAAAGCACTAATCAAAAGTGGAGCTCAAAGGGAAAAGAGCACACTTTAGACCATTATTAATTATCTTTTCCCTAATCTTTTTATTTATTATTTGAGGTAGATAACAGTATCTATTGATTAGCTTTGCTTAAACTAGTTTAGATGATGGAGCTTTAACAGTCCACTAAGCAACCACTTCAACGCGTTCACGGTGGCCATCTGCGAAACTGGCCTGGAATTGTATTATCGGGGGTGGGGGTTGTTCCTAATAGATGCGATAATAGTAAAGGTTTCGAAAAGAATGAGTTTATTTTGGCATCAATTATAGTTGTAGGAGGCTTACCAGAAGAACAAATGAGTTGAAACACACAACAATAGATACTTCAGTATCTCCCTACTTCTACAATACACACATTTGAGTAGGTGCTGATAATTACAGAATTATAGACAACAGATGTTTTGCTGAACTTCTTTTTTCAAAAAACTTGTGTTAAGAACTTATCTTGTGGATAAATGCTAGAATACAGATTAATGACCTTTAATCAGGCTCTTCATTGTTTCAGAATGCACCCTTGGCAATCTATAGAACTCCTAAAGAGGATTAAAACGATGATTCATGTAGAAAATAAAAGATGAACTTCTTGTAAATTTTTTATGTACATGGTCTGCATGTTCAACGAGGATATCACCGAGCAAGGAAGGTGGAAACTGATGCCTGCTGATCATTGCTGGTGTTCAAATTTTGTGCTGAATGATGTGTGAAATTTGCGTAGATTGTTTTTATTGAGTAATTAAATTTTCATTTTATCAGAAAAGAATACTTGTGTTAGATATTGTTATATGCTCCCTTTGGTTATGAGCTAGCTTAGCTTATCTTTTTGTTTATTGCAAACCAATCCCCACCGTAGAGATGGCATAGAATCTTGATTCATGAAAGACCCCCCCCACCCTCCGGCTCTAGGGTGCCTATAAATACTACCTTCTCTATCTCTCCAATCCAAGGCAATTAGCTCTACATACTCAAAACGCAAAGAGGTCTTCGCTGCTGTCTCGAGGAAAGAACACCGACAATGGGGAAATCTTCATTCTTCTGCTGCTTCTCAGGATCAAGCTACCTCGACGATGACATTGATTGGTCTCCGAGGTACCACAGAAAGATCCGACCAAGCGATTATGACAGAGGGTGGTGGGTTGGTGAGCCTGATGTAGACAGTAAGGCCACAGACTTCATTGCTAAATTTCATAGGAGACGTCTCGCAGACTAGAAGGCCCTTGCTCATCTTCGCTCTTGTATCATTCATTGCGTTAATTTCTTCCGCATCTTTTGTAGCTAGATTGTTACTCTGTGAGCTGAATCTTAATTAGTACTTGTTAGCAGTTCTTGCCGTCAATTATGAATAACAAGTGGCGTTTGTTTCTGAACTTTTGTGTGTTGATGATTTTTATGGTGCACTTGGTTATGGCCAGCTGATGATTGAACTGAGAAGCTGGCAGTCTCCCTGCAGTGAATTTAATTAGTGGAGTTGGTCACTATTCGCACCATTTGTTTTGGTGAATCCATGAATAAATAAAACCCCCTTGCCCATCTTTGCCTTCTATATATTATTCATCGCATTTCTTTTGTATCTTTGCAGTTCATTTTCTCCTTTGTGAGCTGAAATCTTTTGTTTTCTGTTAGCACTTCTTGTCATCAATTATGAATAGCAAGTGTGTTCTCCTTTCTGAATTTGTTTGTGTTAAATTTAGTTATGTAAATTCATGATTTTAGAATAATAGTATTTAAGTGTTATACGTGAATATAATTAAAAAGGAAAAAGTTAGTTTAAACTCGTACTTTATAATTCTATTTGGACCAAGTCTTGTTAGACTTTATTTTTTGTGGCCCACGTATTAAACCACCTTTAGTGGCAACGGTTTTTAATCACGTATTTTTTTAAACCATCTTTTATTTTAAGTAACCACATTTTCTCTTTAAACCACGGTTTTGGTGGTCACGTTTTAGTTTAATTAAAAGATAATTATGATTTAATAATATTAAGCGCTAAATTCCTATTGGTCATATTAGTTGAGAATAAATTGTCAAATAACCGCTCACGTTGATGGAACGTGAGATATTTGCTCTATTTAAGACTTGGTCCTCTCTCTACCCATAACGTGATAAAAATTTTCTCTCCATCAAGAAAATTTGAAAAAAAAACTTAAGAGGGCTAAGAGAGAGAAACTCAGGTCTTCAATGTCGTTCTTCTTGCAGTCAATTTCTCTTCAAGATTCGAATCATGGATCAATGTACGCTCTCTTAATTGAATTGTTCTTTGTGAAAACCATCTTGTTCTAAGATCTTGGTATTATGATAATCAAATCAAAATTAAGTTTGATTTGCTTAAATTAAGAATTAGATTTACATGTGGTATCAGAGCCATGATTAAATAACTTATGATTTTCCATCATGATTCTTATTTCTCGTCAAATAGTTCCATCACCGTTAATTAAATGTTTTGAATTCTCTAATTAAATGTTTCAGCTGATTCTCGAACATTATTTTGTTTTGATGTTTTCATATTCAATTGAATACATAAGCCATTGCTAAAGTTGATGATTATGAGACATTACAGTGTATAATAATGTGAATATAAATATATAGGATTATTAACAAATTTAGAATCATATTCATGTTCTTTATCTAATTGATTATCTGTTTATTCAATCTGCTTATTCATTGATATAAATATGTGTATAGATTTTGAGTGACATGAATACTTTAGGAAACATGGTCTAGTGGTAAAAATTTGGGAGGTTGAACAGGAGGTTAGCGGTTCGAATCCTATAGGCATAACAAATATTCAATGTTCAAATATGTATAAAAATTTCCTATGGTTATAGGATTTGAACTGCTAACCTCCTATTCAACCTCCCAAATCTTTACCACTAGGCTATGTTTCCTAAAGTATTTATGTCACTCAAAATCTATATGCATATTTATATCAATGAATAGGAGGTTAGCAGTTTGAATATTTGTTATGGCTATAAGATTCGAACTGCTAACTTCCTATTCAACCTCTCAAATTTTTACCACTCGGCTATGTTTCCTAAAGTATTCATGTCACTCAAAATCTATATGCATATTTATATCAATGAATAAACAGATAATCAATTAGATAAATAACATGAATATGATTCTAAATTTGTCAATAATCCTATATATTCATATTCACATTATTATACACTGTAATGGCTCATAATCATCAACTTTAGCAATGACTTATGTATTCAATTGAATACGAAAACATCAAAACAAAATAGTGTTTGAGAATCAGCAGAAACATTTAATTAACGGTGATTGAACTATTTGATAAGAAATAAGAATCATGATAGAAAATCATAAGTTTTTTAATCATGGCTCTGATACCACATATAAATCTAATTCTTAATTTAAGCAAATCAAACTTGATTTTGATTTGATTATCATAATACCAAGATCTTAGAACAATATGATTTTCACAAAGAACAAATCAATTAAGAGAGCGTACATAGATCCATGATTCGAATCTTGAAGAGAAATTGACTGCAAGAAGAACGGCGTTGAAGACTTGAGTTTCTCTCTCTTAGCCCTCTTAAAAAAATTTTTAACTAAACTAAAACATGGCCACTAAACTACAAGATGATTTAGCACTTAATATTATTAAACCATAATTATCTTTTAACTAAACTAAAACGTGGCCAACGTGGCCACTAAACTACAAGATGATTTAGCACTTAATATTATTAAACCATAATTATCTTTTAACTAAACTAAAACGTGGCCACTAAAACCGTGGTTTAAAGAAAGAACGTGGTTACTTAAAATAAAATATGGTTTAAAGAAATCCGTGATAAAAAACCGTTGCCACTAAAGATGGTTTAATACGTGGGCCACAAAAAATAAAGTCTAACAAGTCTCTCCTAAAAAAATTACGTGAAAACTTTAAGTCCCTAAATAGCAATTTCAATTATTTGAGGGACTAGTTTAATATAACTTAAGAACTGATGGGCCTAATAGCAATTTTAATTTGCCAGGGATGGGGCTCTAATATGAAAGATGTAAGGGGCTAATATCTAAATACGCATCCACCACTTCCCTCCTCATTCCTCAACATCAAATGGAAAAAAAATAACTATTTTAATTTCTCCGATTTCTCCATCTCTCATCGTCTCAACCTCTCTCTTATTAGCCTTCTCAAATTCCCTTCATCTCTCCTCGATCTTCCCAATGACTTCATTATCTCTTAGATCAAACCCCAACTCTTTATCTCGGGTTAGGTTTTCTCTCATTACCGTCGAGAGAAGGGGCAAAGATTTGGTTTTGAGCGAATCAGAGCAGGATTTGGTGAACTCGGTGAAGTGTTGAACTCAGATTGACCGAGTTGTCAGTTTCCATTGAGGTTAGCAGTTCCTGCAAAGTTTGGGTTTTTCTTTATGCGTTTTGCCTGTCTATATGAGAAATGATATGGGTTTTCTTCTTCTTCTTTTTTCCTTCTTTTTTGTATCTTATATTTTAAGGTTGATCATATTGTGATTGAGCTGGAAACTGTTTGAAGTTAGGAGGAGAATTCGTCGAGGCAATTTAACAAACATCTATTAGTTCTCAAGAGAAGTGCATTAAAAATGTTTGCTTGCAGTTCAGCTAATAGTTTCTTGCCTTTGAGAGAATTGGTAAACCTGTCAGATGTTTGCTTGGTCAAAATCAGTGTTATGTGACTACGTCTTTAATTTAGCATGAACTAGATATTAGAAATTTAAAACTTGAAGTTGTTTGCGTTGCGAAGTGTAGTTTCACCCCTAGAATATGAATAACTTCACTTTTAGTTATTTACTATTATTAAGGGTATATCTATTGGAGTTAAAATAGCGCCCAATGTCACTATGGAAAGGGAATATCTATTAGAGTTGAAGGGTCATGGATTTCGCTGCTTGGTTTGAAAGCATATTGATTCCATGATGTGTTAATTACTAAAATCTGCATTACAATTGTTTATGGATATTGGTTTTTAGTAGCAAACTAATTATCTACAGTCTGTTGTCAATTAAAATTTGTGAACTCTGTGAGATCTCTATTTAATAGATGACCATGATGTTATTTAGGAAACTATTGAACCATCATGAGGAAGTTGATGTAGTTGTGTTGTAGCCGGGTGTAGAATTTAATTGGTCATTTTCTCCCTTTCCAATTTATTTCACCATCACAAGATATCCGTTCTCTTGGAGTTTTCCCATTGTCGTATTTCCAATTTATAACTTGCTATGATTATAATTCTATCTTGCGTCAATGAAATCTAATTCAGCAGTATTTCCAATTTATAACTTGCTATGATTATAATTCTATCTTGCATCATTGAAATCTAATTCAGCAGATTCATTGGGAAAAACTAACTTGGAATAATGAGAAATGCGAATATATACCAATCACTCATTTATTTTTTTAATAGAAATCCAACCCCTTCCATTAACATTCTACTAAGAGTTATTTAGATACTAGTCCCTCAAAGTTTTCAATAATTCCACATTAGTCCAGTGAATCCTTGAAATTGCTCATAAGTCCCTCAAATTCTACGGGTTTTGCAATTGGGTCCTTCTATGACCAATAGACCCCTTAGTTTATGTTTTCCCCACAAAACCCTTTATGTTTAAAAAACGTTACCTGAGGGGTATTTTGGTTGTTGAGGGGCCATATTGCAAGACCCCTTAGGATTTGAGGGACGTACGAGAAATTTCAAAGATTTGAGGGACTAATATGGAATTATTGAAGATTAAGGGACTAATATGTAAATAACCCTTCTATTAAAATCTGTCTTCAGAAGCATCTTTCCTGTTCAAAGCGAACCAGACCTCCACCACACTTTGGGCAAGCCTTGATTTCCTGCATGACCATCATGTAGTTCATACAGACCTTGCAGTTCACCGTCAGAAGCATGTTGCTGGAGGTTGAGGTATTAGCTGTGTCCTTGTATGTGCGCAATAAGCCCCTGCCTCCCGCATAATTCTCCTCATTGCTATAGTAAGCCCAACGGGCATTGGCAGGATCCTTCCTAATCCTTTCAGCCATCATGTTCTGTATCAAACATAAAATTCTAATGAAATTACATGACTAATTACCAAATAGAAACCAAGACAAAAGAGACAGAGAGAGGGAGAGGGAGGGATCAAATAGAAACCAGAAATGGTGTTTAGAATATTTCCATTTCTAGTCCACAAACGAGAATAAAAGACGGGCGAAAGGAGAGAACTTTGCTTATTAGGATGTTATATAGTTAAAAATCGAAGGATCTTTTTTACCTTGGTTTCCATCCAATTCCTCCACTCACGAGAATTGTTGAAGTCAATGGCAGTGCTCCTGTTGGTGATAATAGGCTGCGTGGGACGAGGAAGCGCAGCATTTCTATCCTCACGTCTCTTGTTTAGGCACTCGGTAACCATCATATTGAAATAAGAATCCATGGGAGAGGGAATGGTGAGATGTTGTTTTCTTTTTTGTGAAAGGTTGGGAGGCCAAAGTGCAGTTTTTAAAGATGGAGCTACTTCACAAGAATCCATGCTTAGTTAATTTAATTAAATTCTGTAACAGATTTCACTCAGAGGTAAGAGCATCTTTTCTAACAAGAATTAATGAGTGTTGGAGGGACATGAGAGTCGTCTTGTTTGGTCGCTAGCGTAGTTAAACGTGAAAGGCATGGCCTCATATATAGGGTCATTTTGATAAGCGTCGAGTGGACTAGTTGTTTTAAATAACATTGTTAACTGTCGAAGGACCTTCCCACTATACGAAAGCTGCGAAGTTGTGGTGAGGTTTGAGTGTTAGAATTTTATACTCTAATATGCCCACACAGCTTGAGCGCCTGCACTCACACGACAATATTAATTGTTTTAAAATGTACTTTAAATTTGTTGCATGCGGGAACTGAACTTGGGTTGCTTTGATACCTTGTCAAAGGTCTCGTCTACAACACCAAAGCTCCAAAGTTGTGGTGAGGGTTGAGGGTTATAATTTTATATTCTTAGCATTAAAAAATTCTTATATCAATGTGTATTATGTGCAAGTTTAGTAATCTATTATTGTGATGTATTCACTAATATAACTTGTAGCGGAAAATGTGTTATACAGTGAGTTTAACTTCAGTGTTTCAAGATAAGTAGATGCTATTGTAGTCTATAGCTTTTATGACAATTAACTTTAGTTTTCAAAAGAAAAGTTTACATGTTGAATTAGTACTAGAATTAGAAATGGACCTTTTACAAAATTTTACTTGGAAAATTCTAAATGCATTTTCCCTTTTATATGGTTTATTGGTCTTGCTTGTTTTAGGCAAGAACTAGTTCTTCCTCCTAGAATAATTGTCTCATATAGGGTTATCCCCAAACTTTGTATAATGGATTTATTCTTGTGATTAATTGTTGAATCTTTGATATAAGACCAAAAGGTGTTTATAAATGGTCCACTTGAACTTAAGAGTTTAAAATCAATAATGTTTTTTTAATACAATGTATCAGTAATGTTCTATGATTAGAGACTCAATATAAGTAACCATTACTAACTTTCCTTGGATCAATTATAGCTAGCCGTTGGATTTAAATGAGGAGTTGCTATAAATCATTTTTCCATAAGATTAACAATTTTTTAAAATTAGTTAAAAATTATTTTTTACAAATTTTGTGTTGCAAGATGTATGCAGTTTTCTTTTTCCAAGTGTACTAGCTAAATTTGACCGTGACAAAATAATTCCAATATATACTAAATCTGATTATGTAAAAGAATAGAGAAGTTTGATTATCGATGGCTATATGGAAATTACTTATCTTATTAGGTTATTAGCATTTTATTTACCCTAGTAAGTTAACACCTCGACCTTTTTGGGCTAAAGGAAATTCCAGAATTTGGACATTGCTAATTTTCTATGCATAGCAAAGCAGTATATTTAGTATGCAGTAATGGCTTGTTTTATGTCATATTCAAGATGAACCCTTGTAATATAATGCCATAATGGCTTGTTTTATGCCATAGTGAAAGTTGAATGTTTCTATCCTATGTACTCTTGTCTCTAAGTCCTGAAATGTACATGCATGCCCTTTCTGTGTACACAGTGATAATCACATGCTAAAAAAAGAGATTCATAAAGATTGAAATAATCCTACCAGAGTCTCCCAAATGAACAATGAACTCAGTTACTGATTCAATTAAGAATACCTCCCTTTGACCTGCTCAACTTTGAGAGCATACACCAAAGCCTCTAACCATGATCCCATACAAAACAAAAGCATTATCATGCATATGGTTTTATGTATCCATGTCCTTTAACTCACTTTTATGTATGCTGTCCCATGAATTTTAATCTTGTGTAGCACCATTGATAGCCTTCTACATTTAATTTAATTCAGTGTGTAATCATTTTGTAAAGTTCTTACTGATGCTGATGTATAGTATCCTTTCTTATTCTTTTGCTATTACTACCTGTGTTTTTATTTTTGGGGTCTTAATTATATATCATGCGGACACTTAGACCAATTGAAGTTTGCTTAACATGTGCATTGTCTAGGAGTGAAGCGTATGGACTTAAATAGTTCTCTCGTTTTAGTGAGAAATCTTTAACAAGGATTCAATGTCTTTAACTACTTTGGCATTTTCTTTCAGCCAACAGTGGCAGCTGGTAAGGGGGAAAGGCATGATCTGTTGCTAGCCAAACTCTTTTTCTTGAAAATTTGTTAATGCTTATGATGTAGGAAAAACCCACTTTCGCTTGCCATTTCATTAAAATTTGAGCTCTTATTTGCAAATCAAGCATAAACCGTAATTTTCCATGAAATTAAACTGAAATCACATGCCTCTCAATTCACCTTGTTGGGCGCATGACTGAACATACTGCTACCTCCTGTCATAGCCTAAGCCATTTTATTTTTATTTTTTAGTCCATCA